AAAAAGAAAAAGAAAAGAAGCAAATGTCTTTGCAAGTATTTAATGACTATTTAGTTTAAGGATAGTATCAATCTCATCTGCACTACTCTTTGCTAAGTGGAGGCAGTTTTCCAAGATAGCAAAAATTATAGCATTTCTCAAATGCAAGGTATTTTAAATAATTTTACTAGTAATGTTGACTCCTTACTCACTGCCCTCTAAGGAACGTTCAAAACACTTCATGTATTTCATAGGTGCTTAGAACAAGTATAATCCAGAGATTCATCAACTAACTTTTTTGTTCTATATTTTAGTTAACCAGTGAGTAAGCCTGGCCAGGCTGTGTAACTTCAAGGGGCTTTCTGGTATAGAACATTTCTACTGGCAAACAGAGAGTTTGGACACAGCTTTTTGGAAATCATACAGACCCTGTTTAAAGCAACAGGTTCTTGGTTTACATTTGCTCCCAGGAGGAACAGCACATGGCACCAGCCAAGCAAAGACACTCTTAACAACAAAATCTTAATCATTCAAGTGATGGAAATATTTCTGCATTTCCATCATTCTGACCACGGATGTGCTTAGTCTTAAAAGGGTATCAGTTTTACACAGGGAGAAACCCAGTCCTGAATGGAGGAACTGTTGGTTCAGTGTTCAAGTAGCCTGTCCCAACATAGTCACCAGAAGGGGCTACTGACCAGAAAATCTTTTTTCATATAGTGAAAAGGATTACTTAAAAAAGCCCTAAAATAACAAAACCAGGTTTTCTACCCAACACTACACCCTTTCCTCTGCCAAACTTTGCTGGTGCCCTTTTTCTTTTCCTCCAATAGCTCCTTTGTACTTTAAAATTTAAAACCAGGACAAACATTACTTTTCTTTTTTTTGACAATGTAGAGTCATTTGCTGCTGCTGATCTCTCTGGGTCCAATGTCAGCTTTTTATGCCTTACAGAAAAATCTCATACTGGGGAGCTCACCACAATGTTTTAAGTACTTTGTTTAAAGTAAGATGCATCATAGTATCATTTATTAGCAGAAAGGTAAATGAAATGGGAGGAGACTGGCACAGCACGAAAAGAACAGATGAAGGTGGTTGTTTTGTTTTGTTGGGGTTTTTTTCAGTTTTGAGTAAGAGCTCTGCATGTATGCTATGAATTTACAACCACATATTTTTCCTGAGAATGTGACAGTGGCACCTGGAGTATCCAAAGGACATGTAATACAACCTTTGACAATGTAAACTATTTCTTTCACTTCAGGGCCTGTATCTCCACTGGAAGTGCAGGGTATGGGTTTTCTTTTGAGTTTTGTTTTGTTGGGGGGGAAGAGGCAAAAAACTGCCATTCTACTGTGAACTGATAATCTTTCTGCCTTATTGGGATTTGCCACTTTTACTCCTCAAAGAGAAGCAAACTAAATGACAATGCTTATTCTGTGCATAGTTTATGGTACTGGCCAAAGCTGAAGTCTACTTCAGCAAATGAAAGAAGGAAGACCCAGAAATACAGAATGTCCCAGAGAACTTCATTCTGCTAAGGCACAGAAGTATGAAATGTAATGCCTAAAATCAAGTCTTGCTGACACTTAAATTACTGAGCAGTTTTCCTGAAGTCAATGCAATTAAATATCAGTAAAAATTTCTTTTAATATTGTCCCTAAAAATAACGAGAGGAAGAAATGCTGTGAAATTCAGGAAGAGAACTCACAGTGAACATAAAATGCAACAGGATGGAAAGGGGAAAAAATAAATCTAAAAATATTTTTTCAGAGGGAAAGGATTAATCTCACCAGTTACCTTTTTGTCCTTGTTTAAGACTTTTCACAAAATTTTCATATCTTTTTTGTTTTTCTGGGTTACTTGCAAATGGTTTGAAGTCACTAGAACCAGCATTTGCTAGCTGCCTCCCCAACAACATTTGCCATTGGTGAGAAGCATCATCTGCAGAGGCTGGCTGGAATCTGCTGTTCCGTGACTGCTGAGGCAACATCTTTACTTTCATTTGTTGTTCAGATGCTTGTTTCACTTCTTTGAGTCTTTCTCTATCCTTCTCAGATAGATATTCCAAAACAGATGGAGCTGGACCTAAACCAAACAAATGTAGGAAGATAAAAGGAAAAAAAAAAAAGAAGTATTACAACTATTTCTGCCACTTTATTCGAAGAAAAAAATCCTACCACGATGCATATACATTCAGAGAAAATGCTCTTAAGCATCAATAAACAGTATAATGACAGAGATAGCAGATTACAGACTGGCCATTATTGCATCTTTTATGCTATTTATTATTTTGTAAACTTCACTAGCATAGATACAAATATAAACTGCATTTAGTTCTTACTGCATTTGCATATATTTCAGAAACACCTCATTTTGCAGGCAAAGAAAAACACCCTCACTTCTTACTGTATTCCAAATAAATATTCTCAAGTCATAAGGCCACAGAAAACCCCACAGAGACTTTTCTCTTTTGAAAGGTTTAAGTAAATTAAAATACAGGCAGATACATTAACAATTTGCTTGTTGAGATGAAATTGAAGCACAATAAGTTATTCTAGCTAGGCCAGCTAGATTGAGAATGTTTGTATTAGAGAAGAGTGCTCAATGCTAGGTCAGTTTTTTAGCGTTATATAAGGAAACAGGAGGCCTGCAACAGAAGCAAAGGTGTGGTCAGCAGCACGGATACCTTTCAGAGCAGCCTCTCCCAGCTGCTCCCTCCTCTGGGAGGCACTCAGAGCATGCCTGCTCTGCTGTGCCCTGCTGCTCTCCAGCTTCCCAGCCGACTCCTCCAGCGCCTTCCGCAGGTGGCAGCTCCCCTGCCCGGCCCCTGCCACCGGCCTGAAGTGATGCACGGGTCTGTAACCCCGTGGCAGCTCGGGTGGTGGATAGATCTTGGCAGGAGAAAACAAAAATCCACTCAGAGACACAGCTTCATCTTTAACAGTCGCAAATGTGTTTCAGAAAAAGTCACCTCCACCTAAAAACTCCTCAGTTTGCACGTTAGCAGTAGCAAGGGGTGTTACCTTCAGAGCCAGTCAGTAAGTGGCACCCTGACAGGAACCCTGGGAACAAACTGTTCCATGGTTAACATGGAGCCATCAGGAAAAGCAGGAAGACGTGCGCATCACACCACGGCAAAATTAACAGGAGTCTTAATATGCATTGCTGTTATTTGAGAAAATGCTCTTGGTATTGCTTAATAAAGTTTCTAAAAACAGAAGTCACAAGACATAATCAATTAATTGGACTCAGGAGGTGTCCTGGTTCTGTGTAAAAAGGGATTCAGGGCAGGACCCACATGGAACAGAACTATGTACTCGCCTCTCCCCCCCTGAGAGAGACAGAGAGAGAGAGAGAGAGAGAGAGAGACTCTGGAAAAAAAAATGAAGTATATTGTTTAACAAGGAACAGAAAACGAAAAAGGGAGGTAAGGAAAATAATATATACAAAGATTAGGGAAAAATACAAAAAATAAAATATACAAAACCCTCAGAAATGGTTCCAGGGTCCCACGGAGTGAAAGGACAACTTCCCTCTCCGAGCTCCAAGGCAGGAGTGAAATTAGAACCCACTTC